AGCTAGCTACTTACTTCAACAGCGGACTAGCTAGCTACCTTATCAGGCAGCTAGCTAGCTACCTAGACGACTGGCTGGCTAGCTAGCTACCTCAACAGGGAGCTAGCTACCTAGCTACCTAGACAGCTGGCTGGCTGGCTAGCTAGCTAGCTAAGCACTGGGTTAGCTGGCTAGCTAAGCAGTGGGCTAGCTAGCTAGCTACCTACCTAGACGACTGGCTGGCTAGCTAGCTAGCTAAGCAGTGGGCTAGCTAGCTAGCAAACAGCCCGCTGGCCAACCGGTCAGCTGTTCAGCCAACTAGCTGGCTAGCTAGCTAGCCATACAGCTAGCTAGCTAGCCAGCTAGCTATATAGCTAGCTGGTGATTGTCTTGCCTTCGGTTGCAAGAAAGGTTTTTAGTGCGAGGAGACTGTCTGCCGACCCCACAGCAGCGAAGCCTTTGTGGGGCGCAGCAGCAAATTAAAAAAGTTCGGGTTTACGTGCGAGCACTTGCTGCTGCTGCTGCTGCTGCTGCTGCTGCTGTTCGTTACTGTTGCTAGTGCTGCTGTTGCTGCTGCTGTTCTTGCTGTTGCTACTGCTGCTGCAGCGTGAAGGATTGTAATTGGTTTTGCTGCTGCGAGAGCAGCAAATAGTTTGTTTAGTTTTAATTTTCTTTGAGTTTATGCTAGCTGTCTCTTAGGGTGTATCCGCAGCTTTATGTTGCTTGTTTGTGCTGCTGATGAATCGTGTAAGGGTTTGCTAGTCTTGTTGCTGCTACCTTGGTTTTGGGGCTGCATGCACACATTCATGCATGCACAGCTGCTGCTCGTGCTGCTGCTGCAGCAGCAGCAGCTGCTGCTGCTCCTGCTACTGCACCTGCTGCTCTAACCGCCGTTGCTGCTCCTTTTCTCCCTGCTCCTGCTGCTTTTGCTGCTGCTCCTCTTCCTGCTGCTTTTGCTGCTGCTCCTGCTGCTGCAGCAGGTGCTGCTGCTCCTGCTGCTGCTGCTGCTGCTGCTGCTGCTGCTGCTGGATGAGCTGGTGTGCAAGTCTGCTTACGAAGAGGATTTGATGCTGCCTTGAAGGAAGCTGTCTCCATTCGAGGTAGGAGACAGTTGCTGCGGTGTATCCTAAGCCTCGAAGGAGACAGCGCTTAAGAGCTGTTGCTGCAGTTAGCATTAATGTGTTTCTATAATAATGTGAAGGCCCCAGCACCTCTAAACAAACAAAAGGAGACAGCAGCAAATCTACTACAAGGGGACCAACCTGTGCTTCGCTTTGATGAGGGACAGCAGCAGCAGAGAGACAGCGAGAGACAGATTGATGCAGCACCGAAGAGCTGCTGAGACACCCAGCAGCAGCTAAGGAGACAGCAGCAACACGAGACAAAAAGGAGACAGAAGAAGCAGGAAGAGACACATAAAACTCCTTCCTATACGCACGCAGATATAAACCCAACAGCTGCAAACGATATACACTTGCTGCTGTCAGTTGCTGCTGCTCCCGCTGCAGCACCTCTAACAAACCCAGCAGCAAACCATCAAGCTCTGTTATATCCACCTCGTCCTCCTGCTGCTGCTGCTGCTGCTGCTGTTGCTGTTGCTCCAGCTGCTGTTGCTGCTGCTGATCGTCTTGCAGACTTTCTGCTGTCTCCTGGTCCTCCTCTCCCCGCTGCTGCCGCAGTTGCAGATATTCTTGCTGCTGCTGCTGCTGCTGCTGTTGCTGCTGTTGCTGCTGCTGCTTTTGCTGCTGCTGCTGGTTGTGCAGCAGCAGCAGCGCGTAAAGAACTGTTGCTGCATCTTCTTGTTTAAGCTGATGAAGCCTCACATATATCTCTCTCCCAAGGTGAGCATACACCCGAGATTTTCTAAAGGATAACTTTGCGAAAGCAGCAAAGGAGCTGCAGAGACACCTGGTGCTGAGGTCTGTGGGGTGCTTCAGCAGGATCAGTTTGCTGATTTGCTGCAGCAGTCGGGTGTCTCTCCACTGCAGTCTTTCGAAGGAGACAACAGCAGCAGCTAAGGAGACAGGAGAAAGAGACAGAATATCGAGACGCAAACGAGCAGCAGCAGCACGGACAAACTCCTCTGCAACAGCAGCAGCAGGAGACCCCACAGAGACAAAACTTAATATAGAGCAGAGACAGTCCAGAGGCATATGTGAAGCCCTCTTTGCTGCTTGTAGTTGTATAGCTCTCCAGAAGTTGTCTCCTTTTATACAAAAGGAGACAGCTGCTTTAGAGATAAGAGACAGTCCTAGAGATGAAAACTGCTGCTGCTGCTGCAGCACATGTCTCTCGAGCAGCAAACAGAATGACTTATCTCCTGCTTTTGCTGCAGCAACTGCATGCGCTAGACAAGCAATTGTTTGGGCTGTGGGGTGGGCACTGTCTCCTTCTTCTTTTATCTTTTTTGAAGAAGAGCTATTCAAGAGGAGACACTTTAATTGAGCTTTTGCTGCCTCCCTTAGCACAGCAAAAACTCGGGTGTCTGTACACCCCATTTTAATCAGCCCTGAAGCAGTTTGCTGCAGATCGAGCAGCGAGAAGGAGTATTTGCTGCTGCTTCTGCTGCTGTGTCTTGTTGCTGCTGCTGCTGTTGCTGTTGCTGCTCTGTATAAAGCCTCATCTGCTATTGAATATACTAAAGAGCTGTCTGTACACCCCAGCTTCGCTAAGGAGACAGTTAATAGCCCTAGTTCTTTGCCCTTAAACTCGCGAAGACATAGAGGTACACGAAAGGAGACAGCAGAAATAAAATCAGGAGGAGACAGCCCCAAAGCAGCAAGTGCATGCACCACCATTGTTATATGCTGGGGACTGTAAATTAATATCTCTCGAGAGGCCTGCAGCATCAAATAAAGAGACAGACTAAGGAGACAGATAAACATTGAGAGACAGATAAAGATAGAGAGACAGATTAAGGAGACAGATAAGCATTGAGAGACAGATAAAGAGACAGATTAAGGAGACAGATAAACATAAAGAGACAGATAAAGATATAGATAAAGAGACAGATAAACATTAAGAGAAGATAAAGATATAGATAAAGAGACAGATTAAGGAGACAGATAGGCATTAAGGGACAGATTAAGGAGACAGATATAGTTGAAGAGACAGGTAAAGAGACAAACTAAGGAGATGCATAAACATTAGGAGACAGATAAAGATATATAAAGAGACAGATAAAGAGACAGAGTAAGGATGCACATAAACATTAAGAGACAGATTGAGGATATAGATGAAGAACAAGAGATATATAAAGAAGAGACAGGTAAACATAAAGAGATATAAAAAGAGACAAATTAAGGAGACAGACGAACATAAAGAGACAGATGAAGATAAAGAGATATATAAAGTGATAGGTAAAGGAGACACATGAAGATAAAGAGATATATAAAGGAGACAGATAAAGATCAGGAGATATATAAAGATAGACAAAGATAGAGATAGATAAAGAGACAGATAAAAGAGACAGATAAAAGAGACAGATAAACATAAAGAGGTATATAAAGAGACAGATAAAGATATGGATAGAGATATAAATAAGGAGATAGATAAGGGGACAGATAAAGATAAAGAGACAGATAAAGTGAAATAAAAAGAGACAGATAAAGATTACGAGATAGATAAAGAGACAGACAAGGAGACAGACAAACATACAGATGCACGCATACAGGTAAACAGACAGAAAAGGAGACAGATAAAGAGAGAGAGAGAGAGAGAGACAAGCATAGACAGAGACAGATGAGGAGACAGGTACAGCGAAGGAGAGACAGGGAGAGACAGAGTAACAGAGTAAGAGACAGAAGCCCATAGAGAAGGATAGAGACAGACAAAGACAGAGACAGAGACAGAGACAAAGACAGAGACAGGCATGTAGAGAGACAAAAGGAGACAGAGAGACAGACGCACATAAAAAGACAATCCTAAACCCTAAGACTCCAAATAAGAGAGAGACAATTAGAGACAGAAAGAAGAGAAGAAGGAGACGGTTTGTATAAGTGTGTGTATGTGTCTCTGTGCTGCTGCTGCAGTGTCTCTTCTTACGTGCTGCGCTGCTGCTGCAAAGAGGTTGTGGCTGTAGATCTCTAGCCGAGTGTATGCATTTACAAGAAGAGCAGCATCTTGAGGCTTCCACCTGTCTCTTTGCTGCAGCGCTGCTGCTTCAATAGCAGCAAAAGCCCCGTGATGTCTCTGTGCTGCAGCAGCAAGAGCATTTGCTGTTAGAGACAGCAGCATAGAATTCATCAAAGGGGCAAGACGAGAGACATGAGGAGCAGCAGCAGCAGCAAACCGCTGCAGTGCTGCTGTGTCTCCAAATTTGCTGCTGCTGTAGAGACTCAGCGCGAGGTCCTTAGGTCTTAGAGAAGGAAGCTGCTGCAGCAACCGCGAAGCTGCAGCAGCAAATGCTTCTTTATTTTTTGCTGTTTTAATAGAAGAAGGTAAAGCAGCAATAGCTATCATAACCTCTGTGCAGCAAGAAGGCTTAGCTGCCTGTACACTCGAAAGAAAAGCAGCAGCTAAGTGCTGCACTGTCTGTATATTCTTAGACCTTCGTTGATGCAGCAGCCGCAGCAGCTCCCTCACTTCTGCTGCACTAAACGCAGCAGCAGGTAGCTGCTGCAGCCGCGCATGCAGCAGCTTCTCAATATCATTATACTTCACTTCCTTTTGCTGCAGCGCTCCAAAAGCAACCAACAAATCTCCTGGATGAAACGAAGACAAAACCCTCTTCGTTGCTTCAAATAAACAATCCCACTCAGCAGCAGACAAACGAAGGGGGGGGCCCCCAGGGGGCCCCCAATCCTTATACCCTTGACGGGGGCCCCCAGGGGGCCCAGGGGGCCCCCCATCCTTATATTCTTGAGGGGGGCCCCCAGGGGGCCCCCCATCTTTATATTCTTGACAGGGGGGGCCCCCAGGGGGCCCCCCCTCCTTATACCCTTCAGGGGGGCCCCTAGGGGGGCCCCCATCCTTATACCCTTGATGGGGGCCCCCAGGGGGACCCCCCTCCTTATACCCTTCAGGGGGGGCCTCTGGGGGGGGCCCCTCCTTATTTTTTAGAGGGGGGCCCCCTGGGGGCCCCCCCCTCTTATACCCTTGAGGGGGGCCCCATTGGGGGGCCCCCAACGACTGATAAAGAGATAAGACACCTTCTCTGTCTAGGTTTAATATAGCCTCGCAACTCAAACGGCCCTGAATATAGCAGAGACACGAACAATGTTGCTGCTCTTGCTGCTGCTGCTGCTGCTGTTGCTGCTGCTGCTGAGGGGCTAGCAGACACCAAAGGCAGATGGAAACCCTACCGGCAGCAACAGAAGCAGCAGAAGGAGAAGCAGAAGCAGGAGCAGCAGCAGCAACACCACCAACAACAGCAAAAGCACAAACAGCAGCAGCAGCAGCAGCAGCAAGTAATTACCTTATTATTCTCTTCTGCTTCATTATCCTCTACAATAATCAAAGAGTGCAGCCTTCTAATTAAACCGTCTCCAACTGTCTCCTTCTTCTTTACTTTCTCTCTTAATATAATTAATAGAGGCCCCGCATGCATCACAAACAAACCCTCAGGGGGGCCCCTAGGGGGGCCCCCCTTCCTCTGTTTTAACGGCTCTGGGGGGCCCCCCCCTTTTAATAAGGGCCCCAAGGGGGCCCCCCAAGGGCCCCCCACCTCTGTGGCCCCCCGAGGGGCCTCCAGGTTCAGGTAGGGTATAAGGGTACGGCATTGGGGGGGCCCCCTACGGAGAAGGGGGCCCCCAGGGGGGGCCCCTAAGGGGGCCCCCAAAGAGGTCCTGAGGGTCCCTATAGGGAGGAAACCCTTCATGTGCAACTAACATATAAAAGGAAATGCATCACGGAAAGATAAACCCTAAACCCTAAACCCTAAACCCTAAACCCTAAACCCTAAACCCTTGATCACCCGCCGCACAGCGGCTAGGGAGGGAGCTATAGATAGACTTCGCTGCAAACCCTAATACTTGCATAATTATTAAACCCTAAACCCTAAACCCTAAACCGTAAAGTCTAGGCCTTAAACCCTAAACCCTAAACCCTAGAACTTAAACCCTAAACCCTAAACCCTAAACCCTAAACCCTTCTTCTTTATGGGGCTTCGATAGGGGGGCCCCCACGCCGGGGGCCCCTGAGATTAATCTGTCGTAAGAGTGAGAGGAGAAGCAAATAAATTTATTTAATTAATTAATTTATTTATTTTATTTTTGTTTTATTATTATTTATGCTTCTCTTCATTGCAAATCCGAGGGTCTGGAGGCGGCACGTCGCCTCCCCCCCAAACCCTAAACCCTAAACCCTAAACCCTAAACCCTAAACCCTAAACCCTAAACCTTGAACAGTAGAGTTGAACCTGCATCTTATTACTTCCCCTGCATTGGGAGTTGTTTATATCTTCAAGAGCGCCTCCTCTACTATCCACCCCAAAACCCCAAACCCTAAACCCTAAACCCTAAACCCTAAACCCTGATGTCGGGTGTACGTACACCCGGGGAGCTGTTAGCTTCTTCGGGTGTTATTAAGAGTGGAGATGGGGTTGTCTTAGTTGGAGGCAGTCTTCGTTCTTCTGTCTTAGGAAGAGAACAAAGAAAAACATCAATGCAAGTACGATGATATGCATGTACACTCAAACAAATGCATGCATGCATGCATGCATGCATGCATGCATGCATATCGTATATTATATATTACATTTATATATATTATATTGCATTATGTTTTATAATAGAATAAACGGATAATATAATATATAATATTATATATAAGTACATATATATATATATATATATATATATATATA